TACATTGGAATCACACTCTTAATAAACAAGAATCCGTTTTCATTTTCTGTTTCAGACGTTTTTTACGACCTCAGGAACTTCAGCTGGGTACATATTTTCCACACTGGTCGACGTTGCTCCGTGTTCTGGCTCCGCATGTGGATGAATCTGGCTATAAATTTTTCTACATGTTCTTAAAAGTGCCATAAATATACCTGAAAAATTTTGAATTACTATGTTTCTTACTTTGTCCAAAAAGAAATCGTGAATTTTGCCTATTTTTTTACCCAATTAAGGCAAAAAGACCCTTAAAGGTATATAAGAATATTCTATGATTTTTCAGTACTTAAAACTAAACGCGTTTTTCTCGAAACCACTTTTTTTGAACTTGGAGGAAAGATAACTCGAGCAAATCTTTACCGATCGACTTGAAATTTGGACAGTATATTCGAAACACCTTTCTTTATGGAGCCACGTAGGGGTTTTTTGAAATATTGCTTAGTTTTTGTTTTATCGACAATTTTATGACGTTTTTTTTGCGTTAAATTTGTAACTTTTTTTAAAACGTGCACCATTTTGCGAAAAATCAATATATCGAAAAAATCCTACGTGGCTCTATAGCTGATGTTATATAGAAACTAAAAATTTTTGGTTTTATGTTCCAGGTCAAGAATTAAGGAGGGTTTCTTTCCTCCCATGGACCCCCTTCCGAAAACAAGCGCCTTCGGAAATATGCTGCAGAGCCGCCATTTTGTGATATTTTTTTTTGAAAAAATTACATTTTGTACTTCATTACTAACAATATAAAACCTACTTTACAGATTTTCGATTAATCCTTTCATTGAGCCAAAAAAAAATCCCGAAAATATGCCTATTTTTTCGTGCTCTACTGTGATGTCCCCCCTTAACCAGTTTTCAATCACGTGTATCTTCATAAGCACACATTTACAAATTATTATTATAATTAGTAACTAATATTGTGAGGATTATACATTATTGCCATGAAAAATGACTCATATACTATTGAAGGTGCCAGTTCAAAGTAAACATACATAAAATGTATATTCTTTTGTTGCATATATACGAAATAATAATGATTTAACATTATTATTATAAACATCTAGTGTGCATGTGTTGTTAAATCATTATTACGTATATATGCAACAGAAGGATATACATTTTATGAATGTTCACTTTGAACTGGCACCTTCAATAATATACCAGTTTGTTTTCTAACGTCATAATTGTCGGTTGCATCATATTACCTTCAGAATTTAATGTACTTTTATTTAGGGCAACATTATTGTCGACGAGCTTTGCATTAGTCACATCCAAGATTATAGCACTGGCATCAAGAACTTTCAATGTACTCAGATCTCTCTAATATCTTTACATTATTATCGTTATAGGTATTTCTTCCTCCCAATTGAATACCATTTTGATCAATTACATCTAAATTGTGTACCTGCAAAATATATAAATAATTTAAATAATTTCAATCATTTTTTTCAAAAATTACGTTTATTGGCGTATTTGATTATAGGTAATAGATTTTTTTGGTATAATGTTATTACGAAATTGATTATCAGAACAATCCTTCTTCACGATAATAATTATTAATTAGAATAATAATTTGTAAATGTATACTTATGAAGATATACATGATTGAAAACTACTTATAACTTACATTCCAAAATCTTGAATAAAATATAGTGTTCTAGGTGAGAAATTAAACAGTATATATATATATAACAGTTTTTTAAAAATAAATCACAAAAGATCAATATTAATTTTAAAAGAATTCTTATACCAAATTGTCTATTTTAACGTAATACATTTTATTATTGAAAGATAATGAAATGGTACATATTACCATGAAAAATAACTCATATATTATTGAAGGTGCCAGTTCAAAGTAAACATACTTAAAGTATATATTCTTTTGTTGCATATATACGTAATAATAATGATTTAACATTGCTATGTAAATTGTAACAAGGCTCAATAAATTTAAAACTAATGGAGAGAAACAGGGTTACGAGCCAATAAATTCTTTATAAACTTACTATTGTAAACAACTAGTGTACAAGTGTTGTTAAATCATTATTACGTATATATGCAACAAAAGGATATATGAATGTTCACTTTGAACTGGCACCTTCAATAATATATCAGTTACTTTCCATGTTAATATATTTCATTATTAGATAATTATTTAAAGTTTTAAAGATTTCAAGTACTAAAACCAAGTAATTTTATGTTTTGAGTAACTGTATCAAATAAGTTTTATCTTTATTATTATAAGAGAATTGATTCTTTGTGCTGTATTTTCAGGTTTATTGAAGGGAAGGTCCTGAAAAGAAAAGGCAAGCATATTTTAAAACCATACCTTTTTTCTTTTCAGACTTTTCCTATCAGCAAGCACAAAGAATCAATTCTTATAATTATATAAGGAATAGAGAATACAAATTAAGGTATCTACCAAACAAATAAATAACAGATCTGGAGACACGGTAGTGTCTCGGTAAATAAGTAACCTAACCAAATACTGTAAAAAGAAAATAATTATATAGAAATTAATTTGTATTCTTACAGCGGAATTACAGCAGAGAATTTGTGTAATAAAGCAGAAAATATCTAACCTCACTTACGTGTTCGTCTATTCTATGCCATCGATGTGATAGATTTCCTAACCTCAATCCTTTGTTATTGCCGAGGCTCTTTATCTGACTTTAACGATCGTACAGATCGCAGAGGTCGATATTTATTCTAACTTCACTTACGTGTTCGTCTATGCTATCGATGTGATTTATAGATACCCGTCTCGCGACCACATTTATCTCTTGCGCCAAAAATTCCAGAATGTATTTCCTCACTTCGTAACTGGCAACAATGACGACGACGACGACGACGACGACGACGACGTTTCTTACAAACAAACAAACACCTAGACACCCATTTCCTCGACGACGAACACCTAGACACTCACTTCCTCGAAGGCGAACACGTAGACACCTACTTCCTCTACGGCGAACATCTAGACACTTATTTCGTCGACGGCGAACACCTAGACACTCACTTCCTCGACGGCGAACACCTAGACACTCACTTCCTCGAAGGCAAACACGTAGACACCCACTTCCTCGACGGCGAACACCTAGACACTTACTTCCTCGAAATCAATTACGTAGACACTTATATTTCCTCGACGACGAACATATTTCAATATTTCAATTTTAATATTTGTATATATAATAACATATGTATATTATTAATAAATATTTTATATTATATTGAATAATATTTTATTTTTAATTGTAAGGTTGAAATTGCGCGCGCGTCATATGTAATACACCACGCAACACTGGTCTGCTGGTTAGATATAGATAGATAGAGTGAGATGATAGATAGAGTGAGATAACACATAAAGTCAAAGGCCCTCTATTATCGAAAAAACGAGATGGACATTTCCTCTGGTCGACGACGTTAACGACGATGTATCTTAAAAATTGAAACGTGAAAATTCACAGATCCGGACTTTGCATCGCGATATCTCCGCTCGTAGGGCACGTAGAAAAAAAATGAAAGCACTTTTATCATACAATTTAAGTATTTCCTGTCGATTGAGCGTATATAGAACTTGATCGGTTCAGCCGTTACTGAGATCTGATTATCTCGACCCCGAAAATTCTCCGTGTCGCGTAAAGGAGGCACGGCAGTGTCGCGCGCTTGGCTTAGTGCCGAGACACTACCGTGTCTCCAGATGGCGCGCGCGCGTCGTTCACGAGATCAAAAATTTACTACGTCCGTCCCAGCGTCCGGTGGTGAAATCCAAGAGCTGGAGGACGATGTCCGAGATCATAGACGGTAGTAAAAAAAAATTCGTTCCCCTCGCTGACTCGTAAGCGCACCGTATACACATACGAAGTATGTATACATGGAGCGCGCGCGGGCGCCGCTCGCGCGATCAAAAATTTCCTACGTCCGTCCCAGCGCCCGGTGGTGAAATCCAAGAGCTGGAGGACGATGTCCGAGATCATAGACGGTTGTAAAAAAAAATTCGTTCCTCTCGCTGACTCGTAAGCGCACCGTATACACATACGATGTATGTATATATGGCGCGCGCGCGTCGTTCACGAGATCAAAAATTTACTACGTCCGTCCCAGCGCCCGGTGGTGAAATCCAAGAGCTGGAGGACGATGTCCGAGATCATAGACGGTAGTAAAAAAAAATTAAGAACGAAGAAATTTTTGATCGCGCGAGCGGCGCCCGCGCGCGCTCCATGTATACATACTTCGTATGTGTATACGGTGCGCTTACGAGTCAGCGAGGGGAACGAATTTTTTTTTACTACCGTCTATGATCTCGGACATCATCCTCCAGCTCTTGGATTTCACCACCGGGCGCTGGGACGGACGTAGGATATTTTTGATCGCTCGAATGGCGCTCGCCATTCGATTGTGTTTGCACCTTTACCTTTTGTTTTGTAACGATTCGACATACGTTTATAATTTTCGGTCACATGTATATACGAGTGATCGTCAATTGTTTCGCTCCAAGAACGATCCAAACTTCAATCACATTTATATAAATATTTTTATAAAGTTTATTTGTTCGAATAATGTGAACATGTTTTAGTAATAACATGTTTAACATGTTCTATTTCTATTAATAAATAAAAAATATGTATCATAGTACTGGATCATCCCTATGTCGTCCTCTGAAAACATACTCCAGTTGCCAAGATACGTGACCTTCAGGACTCATCATCCAATTGCATAAAATATCACGTTGATGATAGGTTTCATTAGTAGCTCGATGAGCACTAGTATTGGCAAGCGGTGTCATATAATTATCATTAGAACATCTCCATTGACCTGATATCACATTTCCTTGATCATCTTCTGTGTCAATATATTCATGAGGTGCATATCGCTGTTCAGAAATTGGAAGTAGTTTCTCTTCGGTCATAATAAAATTATGAAGGCATACACATGCAGCTATAATAGTGTCTACTTTTTCAAGTTTTATCTTGATAGGTTTTGTAAATACCAACCAAAATTCCAAATGCGTTTTCGATTACTCGTCTAGCCCGAGAAAGTCTGTAATTAAATACTTTTTTGTCTACAATCAGATTTCTGCTTGGATAAGGGCGCATCATGTGACGTGACATCTTAAAAGCTGCGTCGCCAACAAAGAAATAAGGCGTTGTTTGGTTAGAACCTGGAAGATTTGCAAAAATTGCGGGTAGATTTAAGTCATCATTGTCTATTGCTTTTCCTAAAGATGATCTTTCAAAAATGCCACCATCACTTTCACTTCCATAAGCTCCAATATCAACAATAGTAAATTTGTACTCATGATCGCAAGCTGCCATTAGAACTGTACTAAATGTTTTTTTGTAATTAAAACAAATAGAACCAGAATTTGGCGGGGCTTGAATTTGAACATGTTTCCCGTCCACAGCTCCTATGCAATTTGGCATATTCCATGTTTCATAAAAACCATTAATTATTCCATTAATAATTTCCAACCACTTTACTTTACTTGGTGGCTTTAGGTAGATAGGAGACAATACTTTTACTAGGACAGAGCATGTTTCATTAACTATTTCACGCACCGTCGATTCACCTACACGATACTGCAATGCAATAGAGGAAACTAAGTCTCCCGTGGCTAAATACCAGAATAAATTAATATAAGTTATATAAATAGTATTCTATAAATTACAATGGAATATATATTATATATACAAAAGTAATATGTGATATACCTGAGCGTTATAGCTAAACGTTGCTCTGGAAGTAATGGTTTTCTATGACTAGTTTTGGTCAAATACATCGACACTTTTTTCAACAGCTCATTGAACATCTCTTTTGACATTCTCAAATATCGAATAAAACGTTCTGGGTCATTTTTTAGCTCTTGAAATAATGTGCAAAAATCGCCAAACTTATCACGTTGAAGATTAATAGGATGAACCCACCATCTACGGTTTTTCCATCGTTTGTGTTTCTCTTTTTTCTTATTTCGTAAATACATTATTAATCCAATTTGCAAAACTGACGTAGCCAATATTAATACAATTTCCTCGTTTAATATATCATGCATAGTTTTGAAAGATTTAAACGTATAATAATTTGTTGATCTGCAACATAGTTAATAAATTAAATATTAAATTACTAATGATTAAATAATTTTGTTGTATGCATATCGTAACTTGGCCGATTATGTACTTGTACTTTGTTGTAGCATTTTTTCATCTCCAGTTGCGAAGGCGGAATTATTAAATCTTATTTATAAGAATCCGATCTTCGTAACTTGGCCGATTATGTACTTGTACTTTGTTGTAGCATTTTTTCATCTCCAGTTGCGAAGACGGAATTATTAAATCTTATAAGAATCCGATAGAAATCGAAGAAGAGAGAGATGAACACGAAATAAAGATGATCATGATTGATCAAACGAGAATTAAATTATAGGAATTACTGCACAGTTTCAACAATTTGTAGGCAATATTTATAAATTTTCATAAATAACACATTTTATTCTACAGTACATGAAATATATATATTTACCTTCTTTTTGACGCAATGATTCTTAAAATCATGTGCCATCTATATGTATATATATTTTATATCATCAGTAATTATTATCGATATATAACTATCGTAAAATTATAAAGTTTATAACCCTATACATAATTACATTGCGAAGTATGTATACAAAATTGCTTTTTTCATTTGTATATTTTTATTGTGGGCAAATCAAATGTTGGCTAAAATCTTGATCAAACAAAGTGATAAATCACGATAATATATGAAATATGTATTTTTTGTTTCACGGATTCGAAATGCTATAATTACCATAAATCAGAACTTTTTGTAGCAATTGTAAGGTTATGGCCCTACAGTTCCCTGTTCTCTGTTCCCTATTCCCTATTCCTCTATTGTGCGTTTACGGTGTTCCTGTTCCCTATTCTCTGTTCCCTGTTCTCTATTCTCTGTTCTCTGTTCCCTGTTCCTTTTATTCTGCGCAGCCCCTAACAGTTCTTGATAAGTTTTAGTGACACTACCTACTTTTTTAATATGTTCAAACAATTTTTCAATCCCCGCGCTAGCATCGCACGTCAAGAGTAAAATGCCTTTAAATAGCCAGTACTGGCAGACTTATCGACTTTTTCAGACAGTACTACAATAGTTCCGAAGAAATATGTAGGTGTCGACCCCAGTACTCCTCGTTTAATATATTTAAACAATTTTTTAATTTTTCCGCTGGCACCGCACGTGTCACTAAAACTTATCAGGAACTGTAGAACTCTTCAAATACAAAAAAATAGCATAAGAAAAATTAATTATTTCGAAACTTGAGGTCCGGGCACTTTTTTAAAAATTTATTTAAAAATATTTAATGGCCGGAACTATTGTTATAATCGATCAGGAAATGTAGAACTCTTCGAGTACTGTAAGATTCCATAAAAAAAATCGACTTTCTCGAATTTTGCGGTGCCACGTAAAGTTAGCATCACATATTTTTATTTTTTAAATATTTTTATCTGAATCAATGGTACTATTAATGAAACCTATCGGGAACTGTAGAACTATTGCGGGTGTAAGTACTGTTATTAAAATTTCCGATTTTTTAAATCGAGGTGCTAACTTCACAGAGACCTTTAAAAAACCTTAAGAATGCTTGATCAGGTTGTTGAACCAAGTCACTCAAACGTGGAGAACACGGCTACGACGACGATGTAATGCGCGCCCTTTAGGCGATCCTTTTCTCATCTAATGGAGTATATATATGGGAAGTTCATAACGAGCATAGAGAACTACCGTAGCTTCACCAAGATCGGTGTTCAGATCAGAACAGCAAAATCGTCAGTCGTTACGGTATAACAGAATTCGCATCTGTAGTTGATAGTTGCAAATAACTCGCAGAGGATACGCAGCAGGAAGCGTAAATCTTGCAATCTTGGCGTCGTTGTGGCACTCGTTTCATTTTATCGGCTCATATACTTTATCCTTGTTCTTCTCTGCTTCCGATGTTCATAATTTGAAAATGCGTAATTTATATGAATCTAACATATCGAATTTATTCATCATTCTTTGATTTTTTTTCTTTTTAGTTGCATCACAATATTTTACAGATTTCAATAATCTATCTTTTGCGTCACAGAATCGATTAAATTATTGAAAATTATAACTGTTGGGAATAGCACTAATTTATCGCACGGTTAATTTTTTTTTTTTTGTCTCATCACAAAACGTGCATGATAAATATTGACTTAAAACACACTTATCGCAATATGCGTCAGCTCTGTAATTAAACATTCCACAGAAAGACTTGGAAAATGTAAAAACAACAATGTCATAATAAGAATAAGAAAATTTTAAAAACAAAAATATGAGAGATCCTACATAGAATAAGTTCCTCCATGTATTCTTTCTTTCCATTGTATTTTTTACATTTGTAATCAAAATAATAGATTCAAAATTATGATATAATTATTTCCTTATTATACCTCTTACGACGGATTTTTTCAAGAGATATCCACGCGTCTCGCGAATTAAATAAATAAACACCAAACGGATATCCTTAATTATTATCTCACTTATTAATCAGCAATTATTAGAAATCTTTTAAAGTTAGATTTTAAGGTTTTATCTTAGAATTTGTAACTACTCCTCACTCGCTTATAGGACAAATCGTGGTATGCGACGTTTTCATAAGAGCTTTTAAGTAATTCGCAGAAAGTTTAATAATAGTATTTTTATAAAACAATAAATGTTTCTGGCGAATGATATATGTGCAATTTTAACTCTACAAGTGTCCTCTCGAATCATCTCGATCGAGAATTTCCGAGAATAATCGTATCGAGAATCCCCCGAGAGCGCGGATAAAAAGTGATCCTCGATTTTCCGTTCGCATTCGCCACATATGCAAAAAAAAGTATACAGTATACAGGAAGAGGCATTTTAATCGCCTCAGGCGAATATCTCAGAAATTAAGAGAGATACCAGAAAAAGTTTTGTACAAAAGTTATAGATTTTCTTAAGGGAAAGAAGGTGAAATAACGGATTTTGAATAGGGTGCACTATCAGGGTCAGATCAAGGTCAACATAAATTTTTTAAATAGAACCCTCTATTTTTTATTACATATTCTTGTAGCACACCTCAAGAGCTTTCCAAAATATTATAATAAAATATTGTTTGATCAAGTACTTTTTGAGTTATAAGGCTTGAAAGTTAATACCGCCGGCATTAGCTTTACTCAAAGTATCCAATGGACGACTAAAACCTCTTGAATGATGTTCAAGATCATGATCTGAATAACAATCATCAAGATCAAGGCCAATGGAGGTTGCAACTCTTATTTTCATTTTTGCAATAAAAATTTATTTTTATTTTTAAAAATAAAAAAAATAAGAGTTACAATCTCCAATGGCCTTGACCTTGACAAATGATGATTTTAAACAATAATCAAGAGATTTTAGTCATCCATTAAACACTTTGAATAAAGCTAATGCCGGCGATACTGTAACTTTCAAGCCTTATAACTCAGAAAGTACTTAATAAAAAAATATTTTATTATAATGTTTTGGAAAGCTTCTCTCGAGATGTGCTACAAGAATATGCAGTGAAAAATATTTGAAGATCAGAAAACATTATTTTATTTCATGTTTCAAGTGCATTTATTTAAAATATGTTAAAACAAATATGAAACTAGGGAATATATGCTCTTCCAATAGTATCATGCTGTGTTTAACTAAACACAATCATAACGTCAGGTAAAACTAAAAGTACACATATGTGTGTGCCAGTATCCCTCAAGAAAGGTTAAATACTTGTATAATATTTGTATAGAGATTATTGTATGCACGGTCTGTCAATAATGCGAAATAAATTTGAAAAAGTTAAAATTGATTTGCTTGAATTTGCTTCAAAAACGTCGAAGCTTACGATGTTTACGACCGATTATGCTTCACATGCGAAATCTTATATTTCTACTTTATATTACAAACAACATGAAACAGTATACGCTTGGTAAGGTGATTGGGATAATGGACGAGATTAATCGACACATATCTTTTTTTTATATTCATGAAATTTCATAAGCACGAGGCCTTTTGTTTTTATTATCTCTGTACAAAAACAGTCGAAAAAATTATAGATTTTCTTTGTTAATGATTTAATTTTTACTCTGGAGCTTCACGGCGTATGTACAAGCGGGAAATAATTAGCCAATATAATCATAAACCTAAAAACTAAATATAATTATACATTGATATAATGGATATAATTATAATTCATTATAATTAATAGTAAACCTACGAGTCTACAGATTCGAGTATGTATGTAATGTATCGCGCGAGTATCATGTCTCGAGTATTCGCGACTTGTGTTCGTGTCGAGCGCGCGCGCGCGCATGTGTG